TTTCCTGATTGTACTAGTCGTAACTTTGTATTTACTTAGTGGGTAAAACTTTACAAAACTTTGTATTTAACTTAGTAATTTACTTACTTTGTATTTACTTAGATTTATCCTATCATCACCTCAGGATCCCCAAGCTTCTCCTGACCCCACCCCAAACAGAATGTAAGTTCCCTGAGGGCAAAGGCTAGTTCATTTCTATCTTTGTATCTGTGACACCTAACACACATCATTAACAAATGCTCAGTCTAACTGAATTGAATCTTCTGGTAGGACTGATCCAGAGGGCCATCTCCTTTAGCATAACAGACCAGCTAGGGGCCACAGTTCCTTCCTCCTGCTCCCCGTTCAAGTACTTCCCCTGGGAGGAGGTGGAGATGCCCCAAAGGGCCAAGAGTTCAGGAACCTAAAACCAAAAGGCACTCCTTCCTAGAGGTCCAGAGAGAAATAACCCAGAGAGAGGAGGACTTGCTACCCCTGAAGCTCCTATACCTCAAATTAATTATGACAAGCTAACCTACATGAAATGCTTTGCAAACCTAAATCATTACACAGGGATATGGTCTGGGATAGGAATTGGGCCTGTGATTTCATCGGCACAGGGAGCTCTTATGAGGAGACTCCCCCTGCCTAAGCAGTTCAGCACCTTCTCTGTAATCTATATAATCTTAGAAGAGCTGCCTAGAGCTTTGAGAATTTAAATGACTTGCCTAGGAGTACACAGCCAGTATACCTCAGGGGCAGGACAGAGCCCAAGGCCCTCCTGGCTCTGAGACCAGCTCTTTATTACTATGCTACACTGCTTTTCCAAGCACTATATATACTTGTCAATTATTACATACTTACATTATCCAATCCATGGTGAGAGAAATATCCTAATTACTACAAAAAGTCTCAGTCATGTTTTTCCAGATCAACTGAACAATCACCAGAGTGTTTCAGGGTGAAAGGCCAATGCCTTTGGTGCCTATGAAGTTAGGTTACTTCAGGTAAGCTCAATGGCCTAACAGGTGAGGAGGGCCAAGTACACTTTTGGCCTGGGGTAGGGTAGGGGTATATGTGTCAAGCAAACACCAAGCTCAATGACCTGAGCAGACACAGAACCAGATCAAAATGATGGGCACCAAGTATTGTCAGATTAGGGCAGCGAGGTGGGGCAGTGGATAGAGTGCTGGGCCTGGACTCAGGAAGACTCATCTTCCTGAGTTCAAATCCAGCCTCAGATATTTCCTAGTTGTGTGACCCTGGACAAGTCACTTAACCCTGTTTGCCTCAGTTTCCTCATCTGTAAAATGAGCTGGAGAAGGAAATGGCAAACCACTGCAGTATCTTTGTCAAGAAAACCCAGAAACTCTCTAGCATTTGTCTCTCACTGGGGTAAGGTGCCATCAGCTACACAAAATGGTGCAAGCCAGCAGGGCCTGTCTCCAGCCTGACGGAGGGAGCAGGAACCTACTCCAGGACATGTGGGATAGATGGTTTATGCATTAAAGAGCTTTTAAAGACTTGGACGGGTTTCCTCTGAGGCCCGGGAACTTGGCTTTTGCTAAGTCAGCTGGGGAAGCTGCTGACTGACCCACTCTTTTCAAAATGCTCCAAAGCCCTAGAAACTTGATGGTTAGGTGGCCAGGATCCAATCATTCCCTCAAAGCCCAGTAGCTCCTTGAGGGCAGGGCCAATCTCTTGTGTTTGCCTCGCTATGTCTAGAATTTAGCACAGTGCCAGACAGTGCCTTAGCTAAATTCTGTGAATGCTGACTGAAGGTAATCTTCCTAACTTAATTTAGGGTTCCAGACCCTTTGGGGGGGGAATCACAGGTTCAGAGATTTAGAGCTGGAAGGGGCCATCTAGTCTACCTCACTTCACAGAGGAGGAAGCTGAGGCCTATAGAGGCTGAGAGACAAGGAATGAAACCCAGATCTGACTCCAAATCTAGTGTTCTATTTGGTACCACAGCTGCCTTCCATCCTATGGAAGGGTCACCCACAACCACCCAAACTCCCTAACCTCTCCTAGCCTAGGTTGTTTATTCTAAACCGAACCAGTTCTGACCTACTCACATGTCCCTGATCCATCCAAATACAGGATTCCATGCACACTACAGCTCACCTGAAAGCCCCCTAGGGAGTAGAGGATGAAGGCAGGTCTTGTTTCAGTATCTACCTGTCATCTCTACTGTTCCACCCAAGTCCAACAGTCTTGCAACAAACAAGTCAGCCTCCATCCTATGAGAACACTACCACCTGTTCTACCTGTTCAAATTGGGTCAGGCAAGAAAGCTGTGTACCCAGGGAGTTGTTATGGTGCTGAATGGACTTAAAGAGAGCTAAGAAGCCAGGCAGTGCAGAGGTGTGGCTCTGAATCTACCTCCTAAGAACAAATGGGCCTGGTTGCAACACCAGGCCTATCACACTGAAATGACATGAAGTGTTCAGGCATATTAGCAGGAGGAAAGATGATATAATCATCTTTTTTAAATGCCTCACTTATCACTTGCTGCCCCTCACTCCCAACTAATACTAAGAGCAGGCCCTTTCAAATTCTCCCACACCCTATAGAACAATCAAGGGTAGGAGCCTCCACAACCCTGAGGCCCAGGACTTTGATTGTTACTAGCAACCTGCTCACCACAGCCCTAAACCTGCTCTGGGACCAGGCAAGCCTGCTTCAGCCAAGGAAGGGACCTCTGAAGCAACTCCCCAGGCTTTCTTCAACCTTCTGCTCCCTTCAAGGTGACAAAAAAGATCAGACAAAAGGTTCTGATACAGAGCTGTTAAAACTCAGCCAATTTCTGGGAAGGCACAGAACCTTGCCAGGAGAAGAAAGGTTAAGAAAAGGTGAAATCCAGGCAACTCTAGCCAAGACCAGTAACTTTCCAGATGCAGATTGGAGGTTTACATGCTGTCTAGAAAAGCCAGACAGGTAAGAGTAGTGGAGCAATCTTTAGCAGCCAGCCAGCTACCCCCCTGCTCCAGAGGCTGCTTTATGACTAGCCTGAGCAGTTGAAAAACCACTGCCGTGGGCTTGGTTTAAATTATAGCCAAGTCCTCTACCAGGGCCCAGCTGCTGAGCCACTGCCTGAAGCTGGGCCAGCTAGACCCCAGGGCTGGCAAGCAACTCGAGTGATTGCTGTTTGCCTGCCTGCCTGCATTCTGCAACCTGCCTGGGGTTAGAGAGGGGAGAGATGACAGCTTTGCTGACCAGGCCTGGGTGGTCCTCACAGGTCTTCTAAAACCTTAAAACGTCTATGTCCCCACCCCCCACCTCCTCCCCTGGTGGCATAGGCAAGCAGCAAGAATTCCTCAGATAAGCAGCTTCTACCACTCTGAAGAAATCAAATCCCCAGGGAAGAAGACTATAAGGAAAAGTTGTTATGATGTGACTCTTCCCAGAGCAGATCTCTATTTGAGCAACAGCTTTGCTACAAAGGTGGGGGGTGGGGGGGGAGAGAAAGGAGGAGAGAAAGAGAGAGAGACAGACAGACAAACAGACACACATTCCTCTCTGGATGTGCAAATCTCTTCCACCTTGTAAATCTGGCCACTCTCCCCTAGCAGTGAAGGGCTGCTCAGTAATTTGCCTTAAAGTAGAGGGGCCCCCAGGCTCTAAGGGGGATAAATTGTCCTCTGGGAAAACTGAGCAACAGGTTTCAAGGCCACCCGGTCCTGTTCTTCCCACACTGCTTGAAGTAGGCAACCATGGATCAGGAGTTTAGGGGATTATCTGGGCCAGGTTCTACTCACAGGAGAGTACCAGCTATGCAGAACAGGCGGAAGGTCTCAGAAGCACCTGGGGGGGCAGGGCAATCCGGCTGGGGCCCAGCACCAGTTAACAGTGTACAGCAAGGCGTAGTGTTGAAACTGCCCATATATTTTCGAAAGGCCTCCCCACCATTTACACATTGTTCCCAGCTGGTGGTTAGTCAGCTGGATCAGTACAGGTGGGGAGCATAATTCACCAAGCTAATCCGTGACTCCTAAAATCCTGGCAAGAAGCAGTCCTTTTTTTACAAGGCCATTTGCAATGCAAAGCAACTCCTTTGCAGCCCTAAGAGGACAGTAATGCCAAGGGGGAGGGGGACAAAAGCAATCTGGGCACCTTCTACTCTCTGGGGCTAAGGAACACTGAACAAAATTATTTAAGTCAGCAAGTCAGTCAAGTAGCATTTATTAAGCTCCTAGTATGTTCTAAATTCAATCGAGCTTCAGGAAACTCATACCTGAAGAGGTTTCTGAACACAGGAGTCCAGTCTGGAAATTCAGAAGAGGGAGGATGAGATGAATGAGGGCAAGATGGAGGAGCTGGAGCCTCCCATACCCTCCCAAAACAGCTGATCCGTCTATATCTACTCGATATTTATTCAGTGTCTACTGGAGAAGTGCTTTTAAAAGTCTCAAGGGAAGAAAAAAAGTAGAAATAAATATTGCACACATCCCATATAACTGGCATTACTATTGCCAATCGATGAATGCTAAACACTTTGCTCCTGTTAGAAGTTGCTTCATAAGGCCCTGAAATTAGCAAGAGACCATCAAGGAGTGGTGTGGAAAGAGCCTTTGAGTTCTAGACCGGTTCCTGACATTTACCAAGGAGTGAGACGACTCAAGTTTCCTCAATAAGAGTGGATAAGAATACTTGCAACTACCTACTCCCTGCGCTCAGAGGATGTGAGCAAAGATTCTTAAAACACAACGGAAATGTGGCCCAAAATGTTCCCAAGCTTCCCATTAAGCACATCAAGGCATTTAAAAATCTGCTTCTGGCTGCAATTGGGAGTAATACAAAATAATTTTTCAAGTCCCTGACCCACTTACTCGAAGCTACACACCCCTGCGTTGGGGCTTTCCAGATGTGCCCTGTCCAGTTCCCTAAAAGACAGAAGAACCTCTGGGACCCCAAACAGGTACCCCCTTCCCTCCATGAGAATGGGGCAGACAGCCAGGTTGGAGTTGTAGCCCAGGACAGCTGGAGGCACGGTTAGAGGAACAGGCATAAATTCCTACCTGGACGACAAGCTGGCGAAATCCCCGCCATCCAACAGCCGGATTTTGCAGAACAGCACGCCATTCACGAATGGGACTGCAGTCAGCTCCTCCAGAGTAAAAGTAGTTTGAAATTTAAATTTCTTCTTTTTCATCAAGAAAGCCATGGGCAAGTTCCCTGAGACTGATACCCTGTACCGTAGATTTAAAAAACAAAACCAAAAAAAAGAAAACTACCTAACAGTCTCCTTCCCCACCTTTTCTTAAAAAAAAAAAAAAAAGAGAGAGGCGATCAGATAAGCCCCAAAATCGTCAGTCAAACGCAAACACTGTCTGAGAAATGGGTGCCTGGTGGCGTGGGGGTAGGAAAGTCTCAGTTTGAATAAGCACCAAGTCTCAAGTTCAAACGCCTGGATCTCTTCACTCCTGTAGAGCTGGCCCTGGATGGGAGCTCAGTGCCTCCAAAGGCTTCGCAGGAGGAGGAGGAGGAACAGGGAGGGAACAATTCGTGCATCTCCAAGGGGAGAAGAAAGAAACAAAACTCCAAAAGGCTTCCCGGGTCAGGGCCTTCGAGGTGGTCCCCCGAAGGGCGCGCTTCGACGCACCGAATCTAACCAAGCGTCCCCAAGTCCATGCCCTGGCAGTTCCACTGAGGATGGTCCCCCGAGATCAGTTCATCTGTCGGAAGGGGCTCCAGGAGGGTTTCTGCAGTCCCATGGAGAGAGAAATCGGGAGAGTTTGGGTCCAGCCCGCTCGGAGCTCCTCCTCCCCGCCCCCAAACCTGTTGGGATGGAAGGAGAGAGGCCCGACTCACCGCCGCGCGCAGCTACGGCACCTCCTGCACTCGCCCTTCCTCCTGGGATTTAAGATCGCCCGGGAAGGGACTCCCACGGCAGGATGGAGGGGGCGATCCTTGGCAGCTCCCCTGGGGGGGAAGATACGGGAGCACCGAGGTTCCAATCCGTCTCCGGGGGGGGGGTGGAGGCTGCGTCTCCTCTCGGACAGCTGGGTCCAGCCTCAGCACAGTCCCCTTCCCAGACCCCGAGCCACTATGGACTCGGCCGAGATGGGAAAACGCAAGGACCCAGGGGACTTCACCGCACCCCACGACCCAAGCTAGCAGCCTACCCTCTCCTGCCCCGGGGGCCTTGGTCAAGACGAGCTGCGGGCTCGATCCAAAGCAACTCTCGGCGCTAGCCCAGCCACTGAGCGCCGCGCAGCAGCGCTCCACGCAGCAGCGCCCCACGCAGCAGAGCCCCCACGCAGCAGCACCCCGCTGGCCACAGCCTCTCCTCTCCCTACGCAGTGCCTGCACCCGCGGGAGAAGTGAAGAGGAGGACGGCTCCCCTTCTAGAATGCCGGCCCCGCGGCCGCCCGCGTAGCAAAAGGAAAGTGGGAAGGGAGGGGAGGGCGGGGAGGAGGCCCGAATATAAGCCCAGGATTGGCTGGTCAGAAGGGGAGGGAGGGAAGGAGCGCTGCTGGGGATTGGTGGCATGGAGAGGGGGAGGGTGGACCCAGGTGAGGAATAGGTTGATTGGGTTTGAGTGATTGGTTGGAGGAGGAGACTGAGCCCGCCTCCTTTCCCTTAAGCTCAGTAGAAGAGAAAGGGAGTCGGGCTTGAGGAGAGGGAGTGATGTGGGAGGTCGAGTTGGGGGAGGTGGGCAGGCAGGGAAGGGGGAGACGGAGACGGGACAATAGAAGAGAAAGTGGAGTAGGGACAGGAATGAAGAGGCTAACAACTTTGGGATGCACTCAGTCTGCATTCAGTGTTTAATAAATGCCTGTTCTAAGCTCAGATTTGTGCGGGAAGCCAAAATCAATAAAAACACTCAAAAACTCCCTCCACCCAGAGTACCCCAAGACCACCCTCTCTGAAGGGGATAACTACACCAGCCTCCGTACCTCCACTCCCCCCAATTCTTGAAGAACTTTAGTAATTAATCAGTACTTCTTGTGAAGGGCCTTCTATTGTTGTCTTGAAGGATCCTTTAAATCTTGTATTGTGATTAAATTTTTAGGGGTTTTACCAGTATGTTCCCCAGCTTCTGTACTGCAATTAATACTATTTCTTCTTCAGACCTAGCAGTGACCCTTCTCCACAGTAGACGTTGTGTAAATGGGTACTAATTTAGTATAATTTGTTTTGATAAGATATGGTCCCTGGCACCTGGGATCTTACAAGAGGAGGGGTCGCTAGACGCACTCCTGTTATTCCTGAGCCATTCTGCTTGTCCATTTCTTATTGGGAGCTGTTTTCCTATGTGTTGCATTCAGAGAATCACTGGTGGACATCCCTCTCCTACAATAATCCTCGAACTTCACAAAATGGTCATTTCTCCTTCCTTCCCCCACCCCACCTTTCTGGTTCAGCTCAGTTCTGCCTGGCTGAAGGTAAGAACCTGCAGTTCTTGACCCCAGGAGTGGGGTTTGTAAGGAGAGAGATAGCTAAGGGCCATCCTTGGGCTAACTGGCTCCACTTGCCTGTGAACAGTAGGATTGTACGTGTAACCACAGTAACAGAACAGAGCTGATCTGATTGCCAGATATCCCTCTATGGCATGTGGGTTGGGCTTTTGGATGCTTTCCCTGCCTTCTCCCCTCCCCCTTCCTTTTGGGGCTCCACGCGGGGGCCAGCAGGTTTCATCCGGGTGTCTGACTTCCCAGGCCCCAGGGGAATAAGAGTGTAGATTCTTGGATTCCTATTGTAACTGCTTTCTATCTGAATATGTAACAGGGCTGGTACAGGGAAGGGTTGTGTGAGAGATTGGAAGGCTTTTCAGCAGTGCAGTAGAACACCAGCTGGGATCATCCCCTAAAGATGCAAAGCAGTTTGGAAGCATCCCAGGCAGAAGAGCTCTGCAGCCCCTCTCTGCTCCTGCCTCCTGCCAAAAAACATCCCCCCACCCCATTTCTGTTTGCGGTTATCCTCCAGTCCTTGAAGTTTGGCTGGGGAGTTACTGGTAGAGGCATTACTAAGGGGTATGGAGAGTATGGCTGGAGTCATAGGCCAAGTATAGGCTAGGGACTGGTATCTTTCCCTGAAGGTGTTTTAAGTACACTCAAGGACACTAAGTAATTTGAAGTCATAAGATCATAGGGTTGAGTTAGATGATTATGTCTCAGAAGTCAAATGATCAGACTCCCATATTTTTACAGAAGAGGAATGAAATCAAGTGACCAGAATGTTGGAGGAGAGGTAGTGTTGATAAATTCAATTTGACAAATATTTACTAATCATTTATTGCCTGTTAGAAGCTGTGCTAGTTGAATATAAAGGCCAAAAAAGGAAATATTCTTGGCCCCCAAAGAGCTTCCATTCTACTGACTGGATACAGCATATACATAAATGCAAAGCAATTTGAAGAGGGAATAAACATTAACATTTGGAAGAATCTAAGAAATCTCTGGGGAAGGGAGGCTAGGGAGCTGAAGGAAGATGAGGATTTCAAAAACTGGTGAAGAGTAGTGGCTGTATTCCAGGCATGGAAAGAGAAGTGGGAGACAAATGCTGAGTTCTAGGAATGGTTAGTGTTCTAGCTTGGATCAGAAAGGGGAGCTCAGAAATTTGGCCTAGTAAATAAAATCCTAAGATTTTTTAAAATGAAAAGGCCCTTAGAGATTATCTAATTCATATAAGACTGAGAGGAGGGAAATGATTTGGCTAAGGTCATACAGTGAATTAGTAACAGGGCTGAGATTAAAACTGTGAGTCTCTTGGCTCTAAATAATGTAGTCCAGTGATTGTCAAAATGTGATCCAGGGACCCCTGGGGAGCCTGGGACCTTTTCAGGGGGTCCATGGAGTCAAAACTATTTTCATAATAATACTAGAATGTTTTAGTTTCTAATATGATGAATATTAATAGGTATAACCCACATAAACAGAAGTTCTTTGGAGGAGTCCTCATTAATTATTAATAGTATAAACGGGTCTTGAGACCAAAAAGTTTGAAAACCGCACTGTTCATAGTTTTTCCACTAACCACACCAAGCTCTCTCTTCCTGCCCACCCCTCCCCACCCATTAGTAAAGATTGGGCTGGGCTAGGCTCTCCATTGCTGAATCACTGATGATATTACTCAGACTATTTACAGAGCTGATGAAGCAGTCAAGTTCAAGATAGATCTATCTACCCATAGGCTGAAAGACCTATTGATTTATGGCCTGAACTTTGCTAATATTTGAACTAGCACACAAGGAGATAAAGGTTTCATATAACTCTTGAAGAGCTGTTCTTAATTGAATGCAGGGCTCCCATTTCTGTGTGTACCCGTTCCCATTAATCAGTTATTTGTGCCTCTTTTAGAGCAGGCAGGGCCAGTGCCAACATCATTAGGGCTACTTAACCTTTACTCAGCTCACAGGGAGCCAGAGTGGAGAAGGCTCCCTGCCCCCCACCTCTGCCCTGCACTGTATGTATGACTTCCTCATTTGGTGGAGGAAAGGTTGAAGCAGTATGGTTGAGTTGGTTCCAAGGGACTGTGTTGAACTCTAGGCCCTGAGAAATTTCAGAGTAGACTTCTCAGTAAATTTTAAGACACAAGATCAAATCAGGTTAAAGTTTCCTGGAGAGCAAAGTATATAGATACTATCCTGTAATAGCTCAATAATTGCTAATCCCAACTATTAATTCTAACTTTTGGATGCACAGAAGAGGGGACATTTTCATCTTTGAGATGTCTTTTCTTTCTTCTGCCTGTGAAGTCAGGTCCTAATAAGAGATTTAGGAAGGAAACATTTATTAAGTACCTACTATGTGCTGGGTACTGTACTAAGTGCTTCATTAAATATCATTTCATTTGCTCCTCACACAGATAGGTACTTTTATTATCCTTACTTTACAGTTGAGGAAACTGAGGCAAACAAAGCTGTCCCAGGGTCACATAGCTAGTAAGTAGCCATGACTTGAACTCAGGTCTTTTCCAGGGCCAGTCCTCTAACCACTGTACTATCTAGATTTAGAGCTAGGAAGGGCCATAAAGACCACGTAGTCCAACCCTCCCATTTTATAGATGAAGCCCAGAGAGGTTGTGAATTGCTCATGGTCACGTAGGTAGTAAATGTCACCACTGGGTTTTGAACCAGGCTTGGTGACTCCGATGCTGCTTCCATTGTAAGCCTGCTGATTCAGACTCAGGAGCTAAGAATCTAAAGCCAAGACTCTTCCCACTCCATCACCCTCCCTCTCCAGACATGAGCATGTTTGGAATAGAACTAGAGAGAGCATTCAGACCCTCAAGAGTCTGTTTGTGACATTTCTCAGTCTTCCTTCTAGTCCCTCCATTCTGCAAATTGATAGTAATGGTTCACACTGAAATAGCATTATTAGGTTTTACTTTCATTTCAATTCAATTCAGTAAGTTTTTCTTACACTATCCCTGTAAGGTAGGTAGTGCAAGTATTATTATCAGCATTTTCCATGAAGGGAAACTATGGATCAGAGAGGGTCATAGGATTTACAGCTGAAAAAGACCTTAAAAATAGTCTAGGTCAACCCCCTCTAAGAAATCAAAGCCAGAGAAATTGCATTAATTGCTCGAGTCACACAAATAAGAATTAAAAGACCAAGGAATCCAGTTCCTCCAACTCCAAAACAAATGATTTACCCAAAGTTAAATAGTTAGGGAGTGTTGAGGTTGGGCCTGGGGCCAAGATTTTCTAACTCCAAATCCAGCACTTACTACCAAGCAAACTTCCTAAAGCGCTCTTTTCACATACATGCTCCCTCATTCTAAAGTCTTCAGTGGCTCCCTATTGTCCACAGGATAATGTCCCAATCCCTTAACCTGACAATTATCATTCTACATAGGGCCTCCAACCCACCCCATAGTCTTGTCTGAGAAGTCCTAAAAGGCTTTGTGGAGAAAGTTGGACTAGAGCTTGGCCTGAAAAGATGGTAAGATTCAGAGTCAGGAAGAAGGGAATTTCCAGCACAAAGGCAAAGGTAATATGGGAGGAAAACGCAAGGGATAGTGAGAAGATTGGTCAAGCTGGAACATAAGGATTTTTTGAGGAGAACAGTAAAAATTGTTGGGAAAACCAGAAAGCAGTTGGTCAGAAATTGGGTATAGACCAATATCTCATCCCATTTACCAAGATAAGGTCAAAATGGATCGTAAGTAAATTAGAAGAATATGGAATATATTATCTATCAGACTTATGGGTAGGAGAAGAATTTATGAATAAACAAGAAATAGAGATCATTGTGAGGGATAGAATAGATAATTTTGATTACATTAAATTAAAAAGGGGTTGTACAAATAAAACCAAAGTAACCAAGATTAAAAGGAAAGCAGAAAATTAGGGGGAAATTTATAGACAATTTCTTGGATAAAGATCTCG